ATTGACTCACACTAATAAGATTTTTAGTGATAGTAGGGACATGAAGCAAATTATGTAAATGAAAAATATGAGTGGAAGAGGAAGAATTTGACGGTATAAGAAAGGAAGATCCAACATTAAGAACATCCAAACCTGCACCATTGCCAACCAAAACTTTTTTATCTCCAAGATACTCAGATCCAATTGTTAAATTGCCAAAATCATTCGTAACATGGTTCGACGCACCAGAATATTGGAACCACTGACTTTCCTTGTTCAATTCATGTTGTAGAGTAAAGGCATTGAAAGGAGGTTGAGAAGAACTTTGCCCTGATATTTGAGAAAATTGATTGGTATTCTGATGAGGTGAGTGAGCATTCGAACCTTGAAAATTTCGCTCAAATCTGAAGTAGCAACGTGCAGTAGTGTGGCCAAAGCGTCCACAAATTTGACATTGGGCCCTACCATTGTTGTTCCAGAATCGTCGATTATTGAACTTCTGTCCCGAATTTTTCCCTCTTCGATTTGGATCATTGTTTGATGACTGTTTGACTGGATTGTGAATGGTAAGGTTTGCTGAAGGCAGAGAACCATCGGGATTGATGGTAGAGTGACGTTCAATTCTATTTTCTTGAGCCAGCAAAAGTGAATAAACTTTCTGTAAGGAGGGAGAGATATATTTATCAGTAATTACAGAGACTACAGAATCATACTCAGAACCTAAGCCTTGCAAAATATGTAATACATGATCCTCATGCGAAATTTTGAGTCCAGCTGCAGCCAAGGCATCAACCAGATTTTTAATCTTTTGAAAATACTCTTCAAGTTTCAGACCTCCTTTCTTCGTTGTTTCGAGTTTGGATTTCAAATCCATTAATCGTGCCATATTTCGTGAAGAAAACCGAGCATTCAAAACTTGCCATACCTCCCTAGCAGTCTTGCAGTCTAACATTTCTGAGARGAGAGAATTGGACATAGAACCCAAGAGCCACGCCGTAATCAAACTATCTTGACGAATCCAGTGAGAGTACTCAGTATTGAGAATCGGAGTTGCCAGTGTATCACCCGAAGAAGGGAGGAGTTGTGATGGAACAGTTGCATCCGGATTGACATAATCCTCCAAGCCATAGCCTCTGAGAGTGGTAAGAATTTGAAGTTTCCAGAGAAGAAAATTCTCCTCATCAAGTTTTACTGTGGCGATTTTATTCCCTGGATGAAAGAGTTTGAACGATGTCGATGAAGAAATCGAATCTGAAGAAGTTTCTTCACGAGTAGTCATATTGAGAAGAGAGAGAAAAAAAAATAGTGGTCGTTTGACCTAAGATGGCTCTCATACCATAATAGTTTCTCTACAGGAGTGAAAAATTAGAGAAACTATCTATATAGTAGTACTACTAAATACAAAAGAGGCACGATAGTAGGACTAAATAACTAACACTAACAAACAAAGATTACACTAACTGAATTTAGTTATAAGAGAAAAGATTATACAAAAATACACCTCCTAATGAGCTCTCTTAACATTGCTCAATTAGTTTCTTTCTTTGAAAACCAGCATTGAATTTTTAGAAGGGGGATGACAACGTATTCCCATCCTCCCTTCGTTAGGGATTTTTTTTCCATCTCTGTCCCTGTMTTCGAAATTTTGGGACGGAGACGGGACGGGATTCTCTGATAAATATATTTCTTACCTTTTTTATATATATTATTTATTTTTATGGAAATTAAAATTAAAGAAAAAAAAGGCTAAATCGACTGGACGTTAGCTTTTTTTAAAGTATTATTAAAAAAATATAAATATTAATAAAATATTAAACAAGGGATCCCGTTTAGAGTCTCCGGTTTGATCTCGGAGATCAAACTGGGGATTCCCCCACCCGGCCAAGTCGGGTACTCGCGGGAATCGGATCCGTGGATTTTTTTTTTTTTTGTCATCCGTAAATTTAGAGCATAAAAGTACAAAGATGAATGATGTCCTAGTTTAAGTTTAACAACTTTGTGTGGCTTGAAATGCAATTTATCCTTTTCCTTAAGTATAATTGTTTTAATTTGAACTTTCATTTATGAGTCTAATTACATAAATATTTTTTTTTTCTGTCTTTTCATGAATTTGATGTGCATATCATGCTTATTTAGGATTCGTTTATCCATCTATGCACTTTTTTTCTCTACCAAAAAACTTTGGTCAATTTCATAGGGAGAAAAACAAACTCAATTATATGATAGATAAAAATTTTCTAACTTGAATTTCTTATCAGTAACCACCACTCAACAAGCATCTGTAGCTCTATCAATGATTGAGGAAAAAGGTGACCGATTCGACCTTGTCATGGCCAACGCGAGCATGCCCGATATGGACAAATTTTCGTTTTTGCACGCGCTCCTTAAGAAGAATATTGCTGTCATTTGTAAGTTTGATTTTGCATGGTTATCTCATACAATTTTATGTTTTCTTTATTCTCAAGCTACTTATTTGCATAGCAGTTATGTTGTCGGGGATGAATTTGGACGTGGCTACCAAACCATCGGCAGGAGGAAAATCCTATTTCCTTCAAAACCCGATTTCCAAGGATGATCTCAAATACGTATGGCAACACATATATCACCGTAACATAAATGTAACCAAACTAGCCCAGAAAGTAAATTTTATAGAAAAATCCAAATCTGGAGGTATCAAAATTGCAGACACCATAGATTTGTCTGGGTCTGACGCTAATAATAATAGCTACATTAATTACCAACCTACGAACTATAAGGGAAAAGAGAGAACGAAGCAAACTGAATATCAGGATGGCCTAGTTGGGTCAAACTTTGGAGGAAGAAGATCAAGTCACGACATAGAAGGAACGATCAAGGAGAAGAGAATTAAGTTTGGAAGTCAAAGAATTGACAAGGATCATGAAAGAAGAAACGAATATTATATTCCCAGTGACGGTAGATCATGTCTTCTTTGGAATGCAGAACGACATCGCAAGTTCACCTACGCCCTCAACAAGCTAGGTGATAGATGTAATTTCACTTTCTCACAAGTCATTATTATTGCTTATTGCCTACCAAATTTCTCATTGATTCAGTTTGCATTTAAAATTCAATGATGCATTTCTAATTACTCTTTATGATGTTCCCCTTCAATTTGGAAGCTCGCCCCAAGCTTATACTCAAGATGATGAATGAACCATGTTTGACCCTCCGCCAAGTCGCAAACCACTTGCAGGTATTCTTCTATCAGGTTTGCGTACTGTTTTTTTTTTTTTTCTTAACCTATATTATAATTATATATGTATTTCTTGATAGTATAAAATTTCTTCTAACAATGTATTATATCATATATAAGAAACACAAAGCTCAAGTAGAGTGCATTAAAAGGAGGAGAGAAAATAAATTAGCTTTCAAGGGGGAGACATCCAAATCCAATTCCTCCGCTAGAACTCAACTTTCTCCTCTACTTCAAAAGCAGCATCACAAGATGAGAAGAATTAGAGATGGATCAGCTAGATCGACCTGTTTTTTAGGTGGGGATAAACTCCGACCTATTGTCCCTAAAACTCAACCTATTCCTGGATTGCCTGTTAGCAACTTTGCAAATTGTGGTCTCGGAATGCTTAACCACAATTTCCAGCAAGTTGACAGCTACTTAAACTACAATTCAATTCCATTTAACAACAATAAGGAAGTTGGATTATACCCTTATAACATCCAAACATTTGAGAAGGAAGCTGGGAATGTTTTATGCTCTGACGTTAGTGAGAAGTTTGCTTTAGTAGGAGAGGAGGTTCAAATATCTGAGTTGAACTTTCCAAATGTCTCTACAATGGCATCGGAGGTAGCTTGTTCTCGCATATTTGATGAAATCCAACTCCCAGATAATCTTCTTGATGTAGTTGATCATCAACTATATTTGAGTGCTTCTGAAATTGAAAACCAAAAAGCAATGGAATGTAGTGGTATATCAAAAGAGATTCCATCGCCATTTAGGGAGATCACTGTACCCGACTCGAACAATGTTGCTCCAGATTTTATTGATTGGGAACCAGAGCTTCCCACTACTTTTGGAAATGAAGGAAGCCAACCATTAACAGAGTATGCTGATATGATCTTAAATGTACTAGAAGATGATCCATACAATCTTGGCAGCGACTTAAGTTTAAGCGACGTTGATAAATATTGCGAATGGCTAAGGAGCACAGTACTCGAAGATGGAAGCAGTCCAAACAACTTTATCTGTGACAATGCAGAGAAGGTTCCAATTGGAAATGCTCAATAAGTAAGTATATATTGCCATTGAAACAACTTGGAAATAATGTAGGACTGTCCAAAATGTTTTTACTTCTTTTATGTTTTAATTGTCATGCAATAATATAACATGATTGGTTTCTATTTAGGTACTTACAAAACCACGCTGCTGATGCACTCTCCAGAGACGTGAATGAGAATCGGATAGAAAGTTACTAGCTAATTATATATAGAGGGAGAGATAATATAAAGTTAAAATTTCTGAAGTGTACATAAGACTAAATAATAGTTTAATAGTACTCTATAAACAATAAATATTTAGTAATAATAAGTTTCTTATGTTGTAATGTGGAGAGCCTTTTTTTTCTCATCTTTATTGCTATAGGTAGATGTTCAGTACTCATGATATTACTATATATTCGTGAATTTAGATTGACTATTAAGACATATAAACCAGTCCTTAGTATTGAAAATCTAAGGAAAAACCGTCATAGCATAAACTTAAAGAATAGAAAAATGATAGGTTATTATTAGAGCATAGCAAAATGATATCAGAGTATAAAGTCAAATCGAGATTGATAGGAAGAACCTCAAGTGATGAGTGGAACAATATTACTCTCTCCTTCGAGATGCATATGCCATCATAGTCAACAAGCTAAGATATCAAATCTTGATACCAACGATCATCTTTTAAAAGATTTTTTTTTCTTAAAAAGAAAGCATTAAAATTAATTATTTACTTCTTTTTTGATGGGTTCTTTTTCTTTAAAAAGCAGAATATGGTCCTTTCAACAACAAATGAAATAAGTTGTTTTTTTCTTCCTTTAGGAGAGGCTTATAATAATTAAATTAGTTGGCATCTCTTTACACATAAAATAAAGCTTCTTTCTTCAAAAGTTTATATCCTCTGGAGCACAGGCCTACTCTGTTTAGGGGTGAAAATGACTTTTTTGACTCTTATAGTTGTTCAATATGTCGATTTTAACCTTAAACTTGTATTTCTATTCTTAAACGTGAGCATAATTATATTGGTGCAATGTAACTAATACCTCTTCACAACTATATTATAAAAATCACATACGAACTAACAAATAAAACTCAACAAAAAAACATTGAAATTGAACTAAAAAGCACCCTAACATAACCAGAAGAATGAATTCACATCAGAACTGAATTGCCAAGCCGAATCTTCGTGAAAGAAACATAAACTTATAAAAGCTTCCTTTGATAACCCTTCTGTTTTCTGTTTGTAAAAATTAAAGTTAGAAACATTGTTTTCTTTTTTAAATTCGGAAGGAAAAAAGTAGGTTTCAAAAAGTAGTTTTTATTTTTGAAATTTGACTAAAATTCAAATATATTTTCAAGAGGAATGAAAAACTTACTAATAAAATTGTCATAAATTTTTTAAAACAGAAAACTAAAACAACCTGAACTAGTTATCTGACAATTCCTAAGTAATGAGAATATTAGTTTTCTTTTATAATTTGGAATCGATGCTATTGTAGTTTCGTCAGTTGGATCCCTATAATTGAGGGTTGTCGACGGGCACACAACACTATAATCGAGGTTGCAGGACTCGTCTTCGAAAGAGGGGAAAGCCTCGACTACGCACCCCATGAGGCTCAAATCGGGGAGGGCTGGTATCTTCATTCGGCCACAAGCTCACTATGCCACCACCCACCCGTGGTAATTGAGAATACTAATTATATCACACCTTTAAAGTTTAGGATTCAGTTGGAAAAGGATTAAGTTGGATGAAATTGAAAGTTTAAAGTTAAAAGTAAATTACCTATTCTTGAATAGAAGTTAAGGCAAGATTTGTTCAACTTAGACTTAAATTTCATTCCCAAAAGTAGATTTATATATCATGTATAGTACTTGTCAAAACATAAACCATCATCTTTGCCAATCTCTTAGTACAAGAGTTTCTAACAAATCCCTTTCCCCTCTTGTAGGGATTGTTAGAAAGACAATGAAACCAAAACCAAAACAAAGTAAAATAAATAACCTTATTCCCTTCAAAACTATACAACATGAGTTTGAATTCATCCACTCTCTTCTTTCATTTCATTTCCCATCAATTCATTAGGAGAGAACTTTTGTAGTACTTTTTTTGCTTCAAAAAGCAGCAGCTAAGTTCTTGGAGGCAGCAAGTTTGTTATAGATTTCCAAAACCAATTTAGCATCAACTTGTTCTCCCCCACAAGAAACCAAGGACACTTGATTTCCTGGTTTTGGGATCATCCTCCTCTTCCCACCACCACCAAACGCTCCGATCGCGTACATATTCCCGACACCGTTCGCCACCCTCATCATCATCTCGACGTACGCATCGTGGAACCTCGCCAGAAGCTTCAACGGCGATGCCATTTTAAACCGCAGCCTTGGAGCGCCTCTTCTCATCCGCCATAGCCGCCCCAACCTGAAACTCCTTGATCTTGTAGGGCCATTACTACTACCTAACCTCTGGTATTTTCTCCTTCTCCATGTCCTCCTTATGCTTTCTGAAGATGGGGTTGCAATGATCTCCATTGTTAGCTTCTTTTGGAGGGAAAGAGAGAAAAATGCAAGAGGGAATTGAGTGGCTCTGAGAGAGGGAGGCAGAGAGTTTATATAGAAGGTTTTTTAAGAAGACTTGTTCTTTGAGCTTGGAGGATTAAAACATACGGTTGAGTTTCAAAAGAGGGGGAAGAGAGAGAGTTGACTACGTGAGACCATAAAAAATACTTAGGTGCCGACGTTGAACACCGTTGAAAAATTGACAGCTCGTCATTTTTAAAAAAAAAAATGGAACCCCGTTGATAGACACCTACTTTAGTAATTAATTTCTATGTGTTTTCGAGCACCAAATATTGTAGGTCCAGACAAATATCTCATTAGATTTATTTATTTTTTATTTATCAGAAATTTTAAAAACATCACATTTCCGTTTTTTTTTCCTTTTCTTTTTGTCTTTCATTTTTATTATTTTTAAAAAATAAGTAAAATTATCTTTTTATAATTACAAAATGAATAATAATATTTTAAAAATCTAAAAATGACACTTTATTACTACTTTTTTTTTTACTAAAACTTCACTGGAATAAGAAATCAGAAATAGTTAACAAGTTTTAAAAAAAAAATTAATAAAGCAACGGTTAAACATAGATTTTAGAAGAAAAAAACAAGAAAACATGACGAATATGGATACTTCTTCTACTCGCTATCTACCATATTAGCATCGTATTAAAAATGATGTGATTTACTAACATTAAAAAATTATTTATAAAAGCAAAATCAAAAGAGAGTTATGATTGCCCCTTGCAAAATTCGAGATGGGTTCTTGAGGAAGACCGACTCTAAGCTTGGATTCAAAGCTTTTAAAAAAATGGTGGAGTTTCTGATGGGGAATAAGTTTGGGGACTTGGTCAAAAATAATTGGAAATAGTGGAGTGAGAGAGCTTCAATTCAATTGATTTCATTGTATAATATTCAGTTTTTATTATTTTATTATTTTACTTAATGAATGTTTTGTTTTAGTCAATTGGCCTCGGCCTGCATTGGATTCATCTTTGTCTGAAAACTCTTCACTGATTCCAAAAGATTTGTAATATAGTTTTTTAATCAAGCTTTTCTTTTGTATTTATCTCTACATGACGAGACAAGAGCATCATTAAAAAATATAGTTAATTACAAACTACACCCATAGTTTAGTTCTTAAAATTCTACAACATTGTCTTTTCGATGTTGTTTTACTCTTATTATGTTAAATTAGGCCGTTTAATGAAATCTTCGTACATAATTTATGTTAACTGTTGGGGGCTGACCCGCATGCGACTGACCTGATTCAAGCACAGCTGGAAAAGGCGACCTGTTAGGTCGGTCTTGACAACTTAGACGAACAGGTGAACCACCTACCACTACAGGGAATGAACTGATTAATGACAAGGATCGGAGGTCCCTTGGGAGAACCTTGTCCGAGCAGTGGAATACTCTGATGGGACGTGTATCTATCCGTCGACCGCTATAAATACACCACTCACCCATAGACCCAAATACGAAATCTGTCTGATGCTGATCTAGTGAGCTCGAATAATATACTGACTTGGATATCGGAAACTCGAAGTAGCCTACCTCTAGGTACCCCAAGGATCGCCTCAAGTGAGGTCAAGTAGCCTACATATCCATACGATTGAGTCTTTTGGTTTCCGAAATTGTGTAAAAAGAGGTACTTCGAATCATTACTATTTGACTCGGACCTGTTCTAAAAAARTCGAGGCATTTCGAATTGTTTGTTGACACGGACAAAGTCGAGAAAAACCTCTGAAATTCTTTCAATATTGGACCTTGGACATATAATAGTTCCGAATCGAATCTCTTTCTGGAATTGATAGTTAATTTTGAAATAGCACAATGAATAATGTATCTATTATTATCTCGAAGAAAATACATTTTTAATTTATATAATATGGCTCTAGTAACATTTTAGTCTCGGTATGTTATGTGGTAATTGACATATACCTCCAATCAAGAAGCTCATAATTCTTTAAACAAAGACTAAACATATGAACCCCACGTTCCAGGTACACTATTATGCTCCAAGACCAACTTGCTATAGATGGTGCTCATGCTAATTTAGGAGTCGGAGTGTTTGTTCCTTATACAGGTCTCACTGTCTCAAAGATCGCATCCCCACTACTCGTCCCGATTAACACGTGACCAACCAACCGGTGAATTATTGCATCAACAATATTTAAAGGAAGTCTCTTTAAAAACTTAAAATTTTCAATTTACTACTTGAGGAGGGGTATAATTTGCATCACCATCGATCTATAGAAATGACATCACTGAAAAATCACTCTCGCTTAAGCAATTTGCTTTTGTCTGTTCTTGTGGATTTAATATCAATATTGTTAAAAGGTCAAAGAGATTTTTAAAAAAAAAAAGTTCCTCTCTTTTTCATTCAAATATAACAAAGTATATTTAATTTCATGTATGAATAGGGTTTGATTCGGTCAAAGGGGAAAGGACGTTTTAATTTATATGAATATAATTGAATTAAATTTCACAAGGTAAGGTACAAAAAAGAATGAAAAATGGATAGTAAATAGATTTAATTTTCTAAAAGTAAAAGTTTAAATTATTAAAAAAGAAACAAAAACGAAAATGTTATGGTTTTAAACTTTTATTGAGATATCTACATTTCGACATTTCACATTTCATATTTTCATAATTAAACATCAACATAAGAGGTAAGTCAACATTTATACCAAACAATTCGATAAATTATCACTAATATAAACACAATATTAATATTAATAATTTTTAACTTATTTAAACATAGCGAAATATTTATTTGTTAATTTAAATATTCGTTACAATTTTTTTTTATAATTTTTTAAAAAAAATATCTATCAAAAATGGATATCTCATCCACTTGACTTTAATAAAAATCTTAAATAAGCAACTTCTATTTCATGTGAACGGATAAAAAGATGATATGAAATTAAAATAGACGAATTAAAAACGTTTCAATTTCATTATGTTAAAATGTTAATTATAAGGTAGAGTTTGAACTCATAAAAATGATTAAACTATAGTTTAAAGGTACTACATATTTAAATTCTCATTTATTTTCATCGTTATCCAAATAATAATTATATATCACGTGAATCAATGTGGAATCAAAGGCTTTGGAATATTTTTTATGGGACAATTAAAATTCCAAAGTCCAAAAATATTTATTATTAATAAATTCTTTTGACGGAAAATATTAATATTAATCAAATGGTATGCTTTGACCCGCTGTCATCTTATTTTTATCGAAATAAATATGAGAGAATGATTATGGAATTTTTAATTTTATAAAGTTTTTAGTTCGTGTCAAATGCTTTGTAAGTAAGACTAATTCAAAGCAAGCAACCAAAAATAATAAGAAGAATAAATGAAAAGATTGTTTTGCAGAGGAGGATGATAAATTTTTTTCTTATAATACGGTGAAAATGTCAATTCAACCCTCATTTTCATTTTCGTATTGATGCCAATAGAAATCTAATACAAAAGGAATTGCTAATAGAGAGGTCGAGCAATAGGAATAGGAAAAGAACTGAACTCAAGATTTTGATTTTATTCGACGTTAGAAACTAAGTCAAGATTTTGATTTTATTTCGAGACAGAAAAAACTAAAATTTTAATCTTAAGAGCAGAGGGAAAAAAAGGTGAGAAAATAAAAAAGAATGAATAAAAATCAAAGCAAAAAAGAGTTATAATTTTTTAATTGTTAAGTAACTTATGTTTAGAAAAACAAAATATTAAAATATATTAAAATTAATAATTAGATGTCTTTATAAATTGAAATCACTTGATAAAAAAAAATTTGAAATGACAAAGTTGTGAAAATTTGAAAGTATAAAATTCAATTTATTTTAAAAAATAATTATAAATTTATAGATTGAAAATAGATTAAAAGCATCTACTATCTAACAAAATATTTTTTGGACAATTTTATTTTTCTATAAAATTTTTAATTTTAAAGTGGACAAATTTTTCAAATAATACAAATTAGAAAAGAAATTACAAATTTAATGTAAATTATAAAATAAAATTAAAAAAAATGTAAATAAAATAATAAAAATCTGAAATAGGGTGAATTTCAAAACTACTAACAAAAGTAGGGTAGTGGAGTCAAAGTCAAAAATCGTGTACAATGTTAACGTTTTACGTGTGGAAGGTGAGTGGACTAAATCTACTGAACTCGTGTACGTTGTACACGATTTCATGAGTTCACCCAATTTTTTTTTAATTATTAACCATAATAATTTGCTAGTCGAATTCGGAAAATATACAAACTTAAATTTGTCAGTTGAATTTGGTGCCTACAACGAGCGCGTCTTCTCTCAAAGTTGGAAAGGTAAATCGTGTAACGTACACAGGTTCACGCAAATTTTTTTTTATTTTTTTGTAAAATTTATTAACCATAATAATTTACCGGCTGAATTCGGAAAGTATGCAAACTTAAATTGCCCGCCGAATTTGGTGCCTACAACGAACATTCTTTTTTCAGTGATATAAAATTCTCGCATAAAGAACCTAATTATTGTATATTATGTTCTACTGTAATGCTCTGCATTACAATGACAAAAAAAATTCTACAAAAATAGAAAATAAAAAATTAGCATATAAATTTAAATTAATATCATAATTACATTAATTTAATTAATAATATGAGAAGTTTTTTTAAATGAAAAGTCTTATTTTGACTTAAATTAATTGAATAATCCTCTAATTATATTTAATTTTTGAATTTCAAAAGTTTTGGAATTTCAAGATTTTAGTAACTCTTTCATTTTCTCAAAGACTCTTTTTCATTTCTAACTATAAACTCTTTCATTTTCTCAAAGACTCTTTTTCATTTCTAACTATATATTTTTTTATTCTTTTTTTTTCTCTAAATTTTTTTTGGTACTTACGCTTTTTTTCATTTTCAAAATGTTATTACCAAACATTTGTGATTTTTTTTTTTTAACTTTTTACTCTCTCACTCTTGCAGTTTC